GGTTCGTTTTAAGATAGTGTGGTTTGTTTCTTTTCTTTTTTTTTCTTTTTTAAATCACCAGAGGGCACATGCGCTTGCCAGAAACAGAGATGCAGAGAGAGAGAGAGAGATGTAAAGGGAGGAGAGGACGCCCCCCAGTGAGGCATGGTCACACCATAGACTCTTCTCCACTTCTCCATCCCGTGGGGATTTGGGCATGCACTTACATGCTCCCGGTGGAAGTTTCTCAAGACACCAGGGCCGGATCTGAACCTTGGCTGGCCCTGTGGGATCTGACCCCAAACCACTAGGTGAGGGGCTGACCCGTGTCCATTCATTTGTTCATGGCAACCATGAAAACCCTTTCTGCCAGCACAGGTCCCCATTAGTTCCCTTATTTTCTAAAAAAAACCCAAAAAATCATTGTTTCATTCAACTTTATTGATTATTATTATCATTTTTTAATCTGAACAGAGAAAAACAGCAAGAGAGAGAGAAAGTGAGAAAGCAAGTCACCAGGTCCAGGACTCGAACCGCAGACGACCATGTGGGAGTCCAGAGCTCCTAACCACCGTGCCACCTGCTGCCCCCTCCATTTGTTTTCAGTGCCCAAACTTGGACCTCCAGTTTAGGACGGCACTGTTTCCATGGTGATTCGGTTAGCCTAACACCATCACGTCATCATTTAATCACAGAAGAAACACCAAGGGTCCGAAGAGGGAAGAAGGGACACAGGGAAGAACTCTCCGGCAGACATCCGAACGCCCCTCCCTCATAGCTGGATCTCCTGCAGCCCTGGGGAACGCGCCTTCCACGTGACTGATGAGCAGGTGTGGGAGTGATTTAAGGAAGGCAATCTAGGTTGGAGTTCCCAGGACATTTTTAAGTTTTCAGAAAAGCTCTGCGAAGATGGGAAAGTGCAAAGAAAGAGAGGAGAGGCAGAGACGTGGGCCGGAGGCCGCTGTATTCATCTGTGTGCTGGCCTGTAAGGAACACACCCATTAGCTGAAGGCCTCTGGGCAAATGTACAGAAACGTTATTACTACAGCCCAGACCAACTAAATGAAATCCAGGAACCAAACACACACGCACACACAGAATTTCCCATAAAAGGAAGGAAACCGAGGGAGGGCTGCATGAGGGAGGGAGGGAGTGGAAGAGAGGGAGCCGAGCGTGTAGAGGAATGAAGCAGGGGAGCGCCAACAGCCAAGCATGCGAGATGAGTTACATGCCAGCAAACATATGTCCTTAGACAACTCGGGCTAGGAAAGGCCTTTGTGTGTCCATTAAGACCCAGCGCAGGCCAGCTCTGGGGGAGCGCAGTGCTGGGACGACACTCCATGATGCTGAAGCCGTGTGGGAAGATCCTGGGCTTGCATCCCGAGGTCTCCCGGTGCACACACTCAGCTATGGTCCCGGTTAGTTGAGTCTGGGAGTGGATCACAGCATGAAGATCCCATGGAGGGTTCTTGTCTCTCAATCTGAAGGAAGAAATAAATAAATGAAAAGCTTAAAACACAAAACAAAAAGCCAGCGTAGATGTTACCTCCTCCCAGAAAGTTTTCCCTGTCCACAGTGTGTCTAAGAGCTCAGTGGTCCCTGTGCTGAGCCAACCTCTATGTAATTATCATTGACTTTATTAAGCTCCTTCCTGTCTTTAATCCCTATTAAGCTAACAGTTACTCCACGGGGGAGTCTAAGTCTTAGTCCTCTCCAGCTGACACAGCAGCTGAAGAACTCAGAACTTGGTCAATTGAATTGAGTTGAGATGAAGACTTGAAATACTAACTACTCATTGCTGAGATACAAACATGAAAAGACTTAGTCATGGAGGGGCCGGCAGGTGGCATGGTGTTTAAGGATGCTGGACTCCCACATGGCCGACTATGGTTCAAGTCCCAGACTTGGCGGTTTGCTTTCTTGCTTTCCCGTTCTCTCTCTCTATTCCCTCTCTGATCAAAAAAATAATAAAGGTAAATAAAATAATTAAAAAAAAAAAAACTTAGTCAATGGGGCCAGCCGGTGGCACAGTAGTTAAGGTGCTGGACTCCCACATGGCTACCTGCAGTTCAAGTCTTGGGTCTGGCAGCTTGCTTTCTCACTGTGCCTCTTCTTCTCACTCACTCACTCACTCACTCACTCTCTGGTGACCACACATGCTCTGAAGCAAATTAAATAGTAATATTAATGATACATTAAATTAAATAAATAATTCTTAAAAACAAAACAAAACAAAGCAACTTAGATGCCAAGGAGCAGACGGTCAAGGCTCAGGGAAGTAAGCGGTGTGTGCTCCCTGCACAGCTCAGGAACTGGAGCAAGTAGCCAGGGTGCTGCCGTGGTGTGAGGGAAGAGACCAGAGCCAGCTTCCCCCCTTAAGCATGGAGATCGGGGCACAGCTATTCCAGAAAGAAGGGCATTTTGGCAACGAGGCTGTGAAGTCACCGTCTGTAAGCGTGTAGAATCCGGACGTACGACAGTTAGTGCTGCCGGCCATTCTGCTCTGTGCTGATCTCCTGTCGGCGCTGGTAGTCCGTCTCCCACTGCTACATCCGTAGTCTCTGGATTATACAGATGAAAATGATTCAATCCAGGTTCAGGATTCTGTTAAATTTCCTGAAAGAGATCTCTCAATAGCATGACCAGCAGGTGGCGTGTTGATTAAGGCAGCTGGACCCCCACATGGCTGATTGTGGTTTGAGTCCCAGACCTGGCAGCTTGCTTTCTCACTTTCCTTATCTCTCTCTCTCTCTCTCTGGTTAACCTCAAAAAAATTTTTTTTAAATAAAACAATGACAACGAATAAAATTTTAAAAAGGAGAGAGATCCTTCAATAGCAAAAACATTGAAAAGACCCAAACTGGTTATAGACAAACAAGATAAAGCTGATAATAGAAAGTCATTAAGGGAAATAAGACCTCCAACTTCTTTTTTATCTTATTTTAGCTTAGTTTTAGGGTTTTTTTTTTTTTAGAGAGATTTTTGCCACAGGGCACATGTGCTCACTGTAGAGACAGAGAAACAGAGAGACAGAAAATGAGAAATTGAACCGCCTCCCCCCCGGGGTGGATGGCCATGCTGCAATCCCTTCTCCTCTCTGGATTTTAGGCACACATGCACACACCCAGCATGCGTTTCTTTCCTTTTTTAAGAATTATTTTATTTATTTACTTACTTCATTTATTTATTTTATTTTGACCAGATAAGGACAGAGAGAAAGAGAGAAGGAACATGAGAAAGCAAGCTGCCAGGCCCAGGACTCGCATCATGTCTGATCATGTGGGAGTCTAGCACCTTAACCACCATGCCACCTGCCAGTGCCCCTGCATGAGCTTTAAGCCACTGGGTCTGAGACTCAAAACATGGTCAAGTACATGGGGGTCCAGCAATGTAACCATTACACCATCTGCTGGTCCCAGTTTTAGAGATTTTTTAAAAATAATTTTTAAAAATTATTTTATTTATTATCTTTTTGTTTGTTTGTTTTTTGACCAGGGAGATACAGAGAGAGAAAAAGAGAGAAAGGGGGGCAAAATAAATCAAGCTGCCCAGGACTGGGACTCGAACTGTTTTATTGGCTATGTGAGAGTCCAGAGCCTCAACTACCATGTCACCTACTGGCTGCAGTTTTAGTTTTTGCTATGGGGTGCATGTACTCTCTGGAGAGAGACAGAGACAGAGAGTGAAATCGCCCCCCCAGAGAGATGTCCACACCGTATTCCTTTCTCCAGTCTCCTCTCAGCATTTTGGGCATTCATACCCACGTGCCAGGCATGGTTTATTATTTATTTAGAATTTTTTATTTATTCAATTCCATTTATTATTACTATGTTTTAATTTGAATGGAGAGAGAGAGAGAGAAAGAGAAAGCAAGAAAGTAAGCCTCAAAAAATAAATAAATACAATAAAAAAAGAAAAGAAAGTAAGCCTCCAGGCCTGGGACTTGAAGCATGGTCGACCCTGTGGGAATCCATGGCCTTTAACCACCGTGCCACCTGCCGGGTCCCAAAGCATGTTTTTCAAGCTGCTGGGTCCGGGCAGTATGAGATTCAGGGCCTTAACGATTTTGCCACTTGCTGACTCCAACAAATCTCCAGCTATTTCACCTGCCAACAAAAGAGAAAAAGAGAAATTGAAATTTGCAGATACAGAAAAAAGTCAGGAAAGTTCAATGTGTATAATTATTAGTAAATAATAATAACAGTTCATGTAATTAGTAATTTCAGTCCGTTTATATAATTAATATATTTTACATGTTGGGTCAGCTGCTGACGTGGCAGGTAAGGTGCCTGGATCCCACACAGCCAACTGTGTGGTTTGAGTCCTGGTCCTGGTAGCTTGAAAACCACATCATCAGGATCAGCAGATGGCATAATGGTTACATCGCTGGACTCCCACATAGTAGACCCTGGTTCAAGTCCTCGACCTGGCAGCTTAAAACTCACGCCAGGTCCATGTGTATGCATGCCCAAGATCCCAAGAGGAGAATGGAGGAGAAGGGATAGTGGTGTGGTCATCCCCTCAGGGGGGTGATTTCTCACTTTCTGTCTCTCTACCTCTCTCTGTCTCTCCAGCAAGCACATGCACCCTATAGCAAAGATGTCTCTTTAAAAAAAAATAAAAATAAAAAAACCTCAGGTACATGCACATGTGTGCCAAAAATTCTGAGAGGAGGATGGAGGAGAAGGGACAGAGAGTGAAACCACCCTCCAGAGAAATGTGCGGCCATCCCTCCTGGCAGGTGCTTTCTCACTCCCCTGCATCTCTTGACAATGAACGCATGTACCCTATAGAAAATTTTAAAAATATATAGATATATGTTTTCAGTATAAAATAAAATTCTAAAAGAATTATTTAGGGGCCAGCAGGTGGCATGGTCATTAGGGGTGCTGGATTCCCACATGGCTGACTGCAGTTCCTGTCCCAAATATGGTGGCTCGCTTTCCCACTTCCTCTTTCTCTGTCTCCCATTGGTCAAATTTTAAAAACTAATAATAATAGAAACAAATGGAAATAAATAAATCTTTTTTAAAAAGATAGTATAAAAAAGAATTGCTTATTTAATTTTATTTGTTATTATTTATTTTTAAATTTGACCAGAGAGAGACAGAGAGAAATGCAAAAACAAGCCACCAGGTCCGGGACTTGAACCGTCGTTCGCCATGTGGGAGTCCAGCTCCCCAACCACCCTGCCACCTGCTAGCCCCTAAAATATCTTTTTTTTTTTTTTTAATGTGCAGGCAGCCTGTGAGGTGGCACCCAGTGGCCTCCGACATTCTGTTCTTTCCCTCCTGTGTTCTCTCTGCCGTGGAGTGTGGGCTGGACGCAGGGGCTACTAGCAAGCAGAACTCAGCAGAGACAGTGGGATGTAGTTTTCCAGATTAGGTGACGGAAGACTCTGGCTCCTGTGTTTGGTGCTCGCTCCTTCTCGCTTGCTACTTGGTCTGAATACGGCCAGCTGCCAGTCCGTGAGTTAGTCTACAGAGATTCTGCTGCAGTTTCTATGGTCCCACAAAATCCACGTGTTGAGATCTGGTTGTAAGAAGATCAAAGGGGTGAAAACTTAATCTGATTCTGGCAAGGCAGGTAGAGCCTTTGGGAGGAGATTAGGGCGAAGATCCTCTGGGCAGGGTCTCCTTGGTTGAGTCCTGGTGGGTTTATGAAGAGAGGGACTGGGACTAGCACAGGCAGATGCATGGACACAGATGCGTGCAGCCCTGCCCTCCACCGTGCTGGCACGTAGGCCGACCGCCCTTCCCAGAACCTCACACCTCCACACTGTGAGCTGCACAGACCTGTCTGTCTATAAATCACTCACTCAGATATCTTTGTTATTAGCAATAGAACGGACCAGAACAGGTGCTCTAGTGACAAAGAACTGCTGTTTCTAGCCAGCAGCCAGCGGCCAGCAGCCCGAGTCCTGCCCAGAGGCCGTGTGCATGAACTTGGAGGTGGTCTTCTCACAGCGGGCCCGATGACTGCAGCCGGGCCAGAATTGTCACCACAACCTTGTGAAGTACCGAGAGCTAGGGATACTCACCTAGACTGTGCCTGGATTCCGGACTAACAGAAATTTGGGGAAAATAATTGTTTTTAAGTTGCCAGACGGTGCAGAGAGATAGAAACAGAGGAAGAGGGAAGAGGGAGAAAGCACCCCCCAGCAGGGAATGGTCAGGCAGCAGTTCCTTCTGCTCGTCTCTATCCTGTCGGGACTTGGGGCATGCACATGTGCCCAGCGTGTTTTTCAAGTCACTGGGACTAGGATTTGAACTGTGACCAACTGTGTGGAATCCAGCTCCCTTAACCAATAGGCTAAGGGCTGGCCCAAATGTTTGTTGTTTTGAGCTACAAAATTTTGGTGGTAAATAGATAACTAATATGTTATATAACAATTATTTCATCTGCTATATAATGTAATATGTATGTATTTATAGGAATATAGTATATAAAAAATTAGGTGATGGGTGTCGATACAATTATGAATATGAATATAAAATACTATAATTAACTATTATATTAGCTGTTAGTATACACGTGTTAGTAATAGTAGCTAATTTTTTAAAAGCATTATTTATTTTATATTCTCATCATTATTCTTTTTTATTTGGAGAGGTTTTCGCTATAGGGCACATGTGCTCACCCGTCAGACAGAGAGACAGAGAGACAGAAAGCGAGAAATCACCCCCCAGGGGGGATGGTCACCCCGCAATCCCTTCTCCTCCATTCTCCTCTCAGGATCTTGGGCATGCACGCACACGTGCCCAGCGTGAGTTTTAAGCCACCAGGTCCGGGACGCGAACCGTGGTCGACTATGTGGGAGTCCAGCAACATAGCCATTACGCTAACTGCTAGTTCCCTCTCATCATTATTCTTTAATTTGACCAGAGAGAGAGTGAGAGACTGAGAAAGGGGGAAGTGAGAAAGCAAGCCACTGGGTCCGGGACTTGAACTGCAGTTGGTCATGTGGGAGTCCAGCACCTTAACCACCATACCACCTGCCAGCCCCGTAGCTAATGTTTATGGGGTATTTACCATATGTTAAGCTATGCTAGGTAGAAATTTAAAAAAAAATTATTGTGCCAGAGTATGTGCACAGTAGAGACACACACAGAAAGCATCCTCAACAGGGTCCGTTCACGCTGCAATCCTTTTTCCTCCATTTCTCCATCCTATCAGAATCCTAGACTGGTGTGCTTGTACCCGATGTGTGAGTCCCTGCAGCTGGTACTTGAACCATGGTTGGCCACGTGGGATCCGATTTCCTCTGCATGACTCTCAAGTACTGGCCTACAGGGTTGGCCCCAAAGGAAGCATTATTATGCTACATAAATGATATGCCTTCTTTTGAAATAATTAGTAGTCCATTCATAGGAAGGCAGAGAGAAAAAGGAAGGGAAGAGATAAAAATTTAAAAGATAAGAGCGGACCAGCCAGTGAGTATGTGGTGCTTGAGGTGCTGGGCTCCCACATGGTCGACCAGGGTTTGAGTTCCAGATGTGGCAACTTGCTTTCTCACTCTCTCTCTCTGCCGAGTGCATGTGCCCTGCAGCAAAAATAATAACAAGAAATAAAATTAAATAATTCTTAAAATAAAAGAGAGATATAAGGGAGAAGAAACAAAAGGAAAGAGAGGCCTGAAGACTAACAAGGAAGAGACCAGTAGTTAGTGTAATGGCTATGTTGCTGGACTCCCATGGAGTCGACCATGGTTCGCATCCTAGACCCGGTGGCTTAAACTCACACTGGGCACGTGTGCGTGTGTGCCCAAGATCCCGAGAGGAGAATGGAGGAGAAGGGATTGCAGCGTGGCCATCCCCCCTGAGGGGGTGATTTCTCGCTTTCTGTCTGTCTATCTGGCGAGCGCAGGTGCCCTAAAGCAAAAACCTCTAAAAAAAGAAACGAAAAACAAAAAAAGACTAACGAGGAAAAGAAAAGGGAGGAGAAAAAAAAGACAGAGACAATAGGAGAGGGACTTTACTATTGTTTTTGTTGGGTTTTGTTTTTTTTTTTGAAAGGTTTTCGCTATAGGGCGCGTGTGCTAGCCAGACATCCAGAGAGACAGAGAGACAGAAAGCGAGAAATCACCCCTCAGGGGGACGACCACACCTCAATCCCTTCTCCTCCATTCTTTTCTCAGGATTTGGGGCATACATTCGCAAGTGCCCACTGTGTTTTTCAAGCCACCGGGTCTGGGACTCGAACTGCATAGTCAACCATGTGGGATCCAGCTGTCTTAACCGCCACACCACCTGTTGGACCCAATTCCTTTCTACATGAGGAGTCTTCTTCCCAGTTCCATAATGGTGCTGCTTAACAAACTGCACCAAGACTCAGTGACCTACAGCAAAAATGTGTTATTTTCCATGATTTTGTGTGTTGGTCAGGTAGTAATTCTGCTTTACATGGTTTGACCGGGCTGCATGGATGGCTAAACGATCCAAAATGATCCTGACTGGGCCAGCTGGTGGCATGGTGGTTAAGGGCACTGGATTCCAACATGGTCTACCATGGTTCAAGTCCCGGGCCTGGCAGTTGACGTTCTCACTTTCTCTCTCTCTCTATCCCTCTCTAGTCAAATTAAAAATAAATAAGTAAATAAATAAATAAAGTTAAATAAAATAATTCTAAAAAAAAAAAAAGAAAAGAAAAGACCCTGGCCAAAAGGCTAGTTGGTATTGGGTGCCAGTGAGAGTCCTCGGTAGGGTGGTTGACAGAGGCTCTCCTGTATGTGGTATCCCCACCCCACTCACCTGGACTCCGACAGCCCAGCCATGGATGTGAAGGAGCAGTACAGGAAGCCAAGGAGCTACTCTCTTAAGGCTCAGCCTCAGAGGTTCCGCCATGTTCTCCTGGTCAAGATGAGTCACAGGAGACCAGCAGATGGCGTAATGGATACGTCACTGGACTCCCACATAGTTGACAACAGTTCGAGTCCGGACCTGGTGGCTTAAAATTCATGGCGTGGCCAACCTCCCTGAGGGGTGATTCCTCGCTCTCTGTCTCTCTGTCTCTTTCTATCTCCCTGGCGAGCACATGTGCCCTATATAGCAAAAATCTCTCTTAAAAAAAATCAGTGTGTGACAGGCAGTTTTGATTTAAGTGGAGGAGGAATAGACTGTAGCTTCTACTGGGAGGAGTGACAGCAAATGTGCACCATCTTTAGTCCTACCACAGTGCCTCTGAGGTTAACGGACTCTCTTCAGCAGACTAGGGGTGAGTGCCAAACAACGGACATTTGTATTTTGTCCTTTCCCTGAAACCTAATTCATGTCTCTGTGGAGTTCTGAGAAAAGCCGGCACACAAAGGCTCCTTTGTTGCGCAGTATTCCGGGCATACCTCCATCTTACTTCCTTACTTTCTTTTCTTTTCTTTTTTTGGGGGGAGAGGTTTTTTTTTTTTTTTTCCGCTATAGGGTGCATGCGCTCGCCAGACAGACAGAGACAGAGAGACAGAAAGCGAGAAATCACCCCCCGGGGGGATGGTCACACCGCAATCCCTTCTCCTCCATTCTCCTCTCCGGATCTTGGGCACGCATGCACACGCGCCCGGCGTGAGTTTTAAGTCACCGGGTCCAGGACGCGAACCACGGTCGACTATGTGGGAGTCCAGCGACATAGACATTACGCCTACTGCTGGTTCCCTTACTTCCTTACTTTCTCCACATCAGGCAGTGCACACCAGTCCCTACTTTCTGAAATGTTCCCTCCCTTTGGCATCTATGACATCACATTCCCTGTCTTCATTTTAGCACCTTCCTGATGACGCAGGAGACGGGGACCCTAAAAATAGAGTTAGGGTCTAGGCCCAAAATGGAATCTCAAAATGGCTAAGTTTTAGTAAGACGGAGACAAAGCAGGTCGGCGGTTTGCTCAGGAGAGACCTCTGCGGCGGTGGCTCAGTGACTGACTAGACCTAAAACAGAGGCTTTCCAGGCCCGGCCACATTCCAGAAAGAGGAGAAGATAATGGTTTTATAGCTCAGCCTTCTAGACAAAGAATCCCCTGACCTTCAGAATTAGTACCCACTCCAAAATCAGGAAAATAATTGGACCCATCCAGCATGTGCCCGTCCCCACCAAGAGGGGAATGCGAGCACAAGCCCCACCTAGAACACGTGTGGACAAAGCCTTCCGGACCCAAATAATCCCTTGCCACAGTTCCTCCTTGGCTACCCATTTTCCGGGACCTCTCCCTTCTTGGGAGCTCTGTTTTTCCTTCCTTCTCCTTTAATTCACTTCCTGCATTGCTATACCCACTCTCTGTGAGCGCAGCTCTAATTCTTGCTGAGTATGGGACAAGAACCCCCGTCTCACTGCGAGTGCGGACCCAGTCACCCCTGCACCCCTGCGTTCCTGCATCATATTTTGGTGCATTGGCCGGGAAACATCTAGATTCCCCTTCTCCTTTTATTTATTTATTTGTTTATTTATTTTGTTATTAATTTGACCAGAGAAGGCTAGAGGGAGAGAGAGAGAGGGAGAGAGAGGGAAAGTGAGAAAGCAAGCTACCAGGTCTGGGACTCAAACCACAGTCAACCAGTACCCCTAACTACCATGCCACCTGCCTGCCCCAAGACTCCCCATTTTTTTTTTAGTATTTAAAAAAAATTTTAATACTTTTTAAATGATATGTTTTGTATTACATTTCATCACATATATCTTTACAGTGTATAACATTTCTTCTTCCAGCATGATTACTATGCATATCAGTCAAAGCAATTACTATCCACATCATCATCATCAAATAGCTTTTCATTTTTTTCAGATTATCATTGTTATGTACTACAATTCTCACTATACAACATTCAATCACTATGTATCATTTGGCTTGTAAAAATGATTTACCTTGGGACCAGCAGTTGGCATAATGGCTGTGTCACTGGACTACCATGTAGTCTATCGCGGTTTGAGTCCCGGACCCAGTGGCTTAAATTCATACCAGGTGGGACCAGCAGTTAGCGTAATGGCTATGTCGCTGGATTCCCACGTAGTCGACCGCAGTTCACGTCTGGGACCCAGTGGCTTAGAACTCACGCCGGGCACGTGTGCGTGCGTGCCCAAGATCCGGAGAGGAGAATGGAGGAGAAGTGATTGCGGCGTGACCATCCCCCCTGGGGGGTGATTTCTCGCTTTCTGTCTCTCTGTTTCTCTATCTCTCTCTCTGTCTGGAGAGCACACGCGCCCTATAGCAAAAAACAAACAACAACAACAACAAAAAAGAAATAGGAAGTAGTTGGGACCAGCAGTTGGCATAATGGCTATGTCGCTGGACTCCCATGTAGTCAACCGCAGTTCGAATCCCAGATCCGGTGGCTTAAACTCATGCTGGGCGCATGTGCGTGTGTGCCCAAGATCCCAAGAAGAGAATGGAGGAGAAGGGATTGCGGCATGGCCATCCCCCCTGGGGGATGATTTCTCGCTTTCTGTCTTTCTATTTCTCTTTCTGTCTTTCTATTTCTCTCTGTCTTTGTGGCGAGCGCACACGCCCTATAGCAAAAACCTCTCCGAAAATAAATAAATAAATAAATAAATAAATTTTAAAAATAAATTAACAAATAAATAAAGTTAAATAAATAATTATTTTAAAAAAGAGAACTTTCCCTCTCTTAGATATCCAAAATCAATGGGTGGAACCTGGTCCTCGAGTCTTGGCGACTAATCTCCTTCTCTATATAACCAGGCCACCGCCCCTCTAGAATAAGGGAGCAGAGCTCTCAGCTCTCCGGGCCGCAGCTGCCCTGAGTCACTCTCATTCGAACTCTTTGCCCGGTTACTCCACCTTGAGACAGGTGTTGATAGCATTCACTCCCAATTTCAACCAGCGACTCGAGAAATCTTTAGGAGAGGACCTCGTTGGCAGAGTCACTGCTTTCTTAGCCTTACTAGGGTTACATATTCCCCTTAGAACAGACGGGACAATGGATGGGAACATTCGCCCAGAACACCTAGCACATGCAATACACAGGCCCTCACGGAAAATGTTGAGCTCTCTTCTATTCAAACCTTGGGCTCTCTGTGACGTTTGCTCTATGCCCTCTAGGTCAGATAGACAGACTCTTTCTCTACTCCTCAGTCGTAGAAAGACGCCCTCACCTGCGTGTCTGCCCTCTGAACCTGCGCTGCCACGTTCCGCTCCTGGGCTCTCCCCGAAACTGCTCCCGGAACACAGCAGGGATCGTCTCACCCTCGGGCCTTCTTAACAGGCTCCCCATTTCTCTTCCGATCAAGTCTCTGTCCACTGCCATCTGAGGACTCTGAAGGGTTTCTTTTTAAATCCTTTAGCCATGGCAAGGAGCAGCATCCTCCTGTCGGCCTTCATGAAGATGTGCGGAGACAGGTTTTCCTTGCTGTTTGTCCTTCGCTCTCTGCAGGCCGCTTTGTACCAGGGGTATGATGCTGGGGGCACTTTTCCAGTGGCTCGCTCAGTTACAGACAGGCAGTTAGGATGCTACTTGGAACCCTTTTCCTACTGTGTATGTTATGCTGCCCAACTCTAAGACCAGACTTCCTGAGAGCCTCCCCAAAGGCCTCTTCTCCCTGCTTTTGATGCAAGCTGACTCTCCCTCTTGGTTGGTCCCATACTGTCAAATACTTCGAACTTCAATGAGGCTTTACTTGGGTCGATGGAGCTTGTCTACCCCACCTTGAGACACATCACTTGTTTATGCCTAAACACACTTAAAAACCAGTGCTGACATACAAACATGGCTAACAGAATTAGAGTCCACCTCTGCATGATGTTAAGTCGGGACCCGCAGTTAGTGTAATGGCTATGTCGCTGGACTCCCATGTAGCTGACCACGGTTCAAGTCCCAGACTCGGTGGCTTCAAAGTCTCACTG